TGCTTATATAGTTTGTACAACCATTATTGTAAAATTTGCTTTAAAAAAAATCCGCTGGGTTTCTTACTGGTTCTTCCCAGGACAGAGGCTTTTTTTCGAACCAGTGGTAAAGTAAAAAAGTGACTTTCAATAAGAATTACACATGTGATCTATATTGAATAAAAAATTATTCTATTCTATTCTATTCTCGACACCTACTGAATATAATTGTGAATCGCTTAGATCATTGAGGGACACATATATAAAGACCCACTCAAATATCCACAAAAAATCATCAAAATCGGTGCAGCCATTTTCGAGTTTTAGCGATTATTATACATATATAGAGATTTATCACAACGTTGTCTAAAAATGTTAATTTTGGATATCGTTTGCAAAACATCTATTTTTATGTTTAGTTCTTGATGAGTGTACTACTGAACCATGACCATACCTAGAACTTGAAAAATCTTGTTTTTGAACATACTTACCCACAATCCCCCGGAGAGTGCCATAAAATTCACAACATTAGATAATTTAATTTGTCAATGAACAGTAATTAATACGCTTATGATGGAGTTATAATCAGTTTTACAATAATTATATTTTTAAGTTAATATTTACGTAAGTTACAATAAGGAATATGAAGCAGTAAGCAGGGATGGCTGTGATAGCATTTAGACAATGTACTCAGCGGATTAGTTACATATGGAGTAGGTATACAGCTAATTATCAAGTCGGGAAATCTGCCATCGTTATTAGAAATGCAGTTGGCTTGATTCATATTATATATAGAGATTAATTCTATAAGATCTAGACCATTAGATGTTATGTAATTTGAAGCACACTTTTAGCTACAGTGTAGTCTGTATTTTGCGTAGTCTGCCTTCCGTAGTGTAATTATGTCTTGAAATTTCAGCGACGACTTGCTTTGTTCACCACGTAAAATGACATTAGAATGCTCCATTTGGCTATCATCCATGACTTTACTCATATCACTCCATCGTAATGTGGTGTTAGTATTATAAGACTCTGGTTGTTTGTTGCGACATCAGGGCATCTCCTATAAGACTTGTATCTCCTTAAACAAAGTTTGTGTGTCACGTTAGCACTATCAATGTTATATCTTGATTTGCAAGCACAACAAACTAATAGTTCTTTCTTCAGCAACGTATTCTTATGTACCGCGCATTCTTTTGTAGATAATACCATCGTTATAATAACAAACGTTTTGTTATTTACTTGTTTCATAATAGTTAAGTTACTCAAGAGTCAAGGATGCGGCTAAAGGGTCACAAGCGCAGTGAATATCGTGTCGATTATGTATTTTATTTACTAATACACTGACTTCACGGTTAAATAATACTTTTATAGTGTTATTTTTTATATTTTTAAATGGATTTCTTATATTTATTCAATGAAACACCGCTAACTTCTCTACTAGCTACTGGGAATACCTTGACAGGAAATCCCAAAAATTCATCTTTTCAAGACCCAGAATTCGAAACAGGTTTCTCATGATCAGCCATCACGCTTACGTAAAACAAAAGCTATATATCCTTACACGTTTAGAAGTAGTCTTAAAAAAGAAATCAAAAAGCGGTATAATTATATACCTGTTTTGCTTTCTTCTTTTCATCAACACGTCAATGTCCACTGCTAGACAAGGGCTTCTTAAGGATTTACCTTAATCGTCATGCTTGGCAGGTAGTAGTTGGATCGCAGTACCAGAAGTCTCACATTTTTGATGTTGCCGACCGTATTCGGACTGAGTATTTTACTTCTGGCACTAACAAGGTGTTTCACCACTGTGCGATTTATTAGCAGTTTTCTTCCTCGCACAACTTTCTTGTGGAATCAACTACCACCAGCGATTTTTCGACTTAGAGACCTTCAAGAAAAGAGTACTACTCTTTATCAAAGGCTGGTAACGCATCTGCAATTCCCCTGGAGTTGCAGTTGTTCATGGCGGCGGTAATCACTTACTATCAGGTGAGCCGCATGGTCGCTTACCCCATGTTTTGTTTTTGTTTTTCATTTTTTATTTTAAAAAATACCGCCATCTATCGAAAGCTATAAGATATTTCAGGATTTTACCATAATCGTTTCTAGCTATACCTACGAGACGAAATGGGATAATGAATTCCAATGATATATAATATATATTTGTAAATTAGTTATAGGCCTTCGTCTACTCAATCACTTCATCAACGCGGCGGACTAAGGCTCTACCCTTGAGAAATAGAGGAGGCCGGAGCCTAGCTTTAGGTTGAATAACTATGGAACTTAACTTTTTGCAATAAAATATGATTATTTAGGAATTTAAAAAGACTTACTTGCAATTTGTCTTGGCCTCGGAGGGAAAAAATATGAATATCAGAAATAACTCATGAAATCTTAACCTACTCGATTTTGTGAGACTATTATTTCCCCTGAAAGTCTTATATGGTATGACGATAAACAATAAGTTCCTGGTAGAGCCTTCGAAATTGGCAGCAATTAACATAAAGGAATATTGGAAATTTTACACATCGGTAGTTTTCCCTGAAGTCTTCTAATTCCTGCGCGTGGAGGTTCGACATAATTCCAGAGAAATTTTCAAATAATTATGGCAAAAGGCTTATTTGGGTTACAGTAACATGTAGTTTTAATGTTTGCTTACGCAGCAAAGATGAATCGACGTTAATACTTAGATAGTATTAACGTCAATTCATATTTCCTATTAATCTAATTATTGCAATATTCTACCCTAGTGAAACCAAGGCTAGACAGTCAGTTAGTAATTATAAAAGGTTAGTAGTTATCTACATAAATATTTCCATTGTAAGTGTATGAATACCATACTTTTATAACGTTACGAGTAGTTGAGTCTTCGATTCTGACCTTTACGAGTATAATGTAAATTACACAGAACCGTGGTTAGAAGTCAAATTGACTGAAGAGGTTAAACAAACGACGCGGTTAGGGAGTGGAAACTCTCCTCCGTTGAATATTAATCGGTTGCTGAATACGCTTTTATTTGCTCTTGTCTTTATCCGTGGAGTGTTGATCCCTCAGAATAAACCACAGTTTGAATCGTGTAAACGATATGGTTATTTAATATTAGTCATATTAGTTGGTAAGTTATGTCTTTTGAGGTAGCGATATTAATTAAAAACACGCATTTTAGATAAAACTAATTTTACGGATTTTATCGCGTATATTAACTTATTTTATATTCCCGACGTTTCGAACACTTTCCAGCACACATGGTCATGGGAGGGGGGGGGGGGGGATTGAGGTGTCTGACGTCCCAATGTCATAGTTAACCACGGCTACCTCCAGATGAAAAATTATTAATTTTTGTTCCGATCTACGCAGTATGAACTTACAGTATCTTGAAGTCTTACCGTTGTATGCTTGGGTTGGGATTTAATTTTATTAATTATGGGATCCCAAGCAGATGATAGCACCTATCTCTATTGAAATTAGGATGTTTTTTAATTTCAATGGCCTCGCGAATCATTCTTGGAAGGAATCGGTGTTCTTTAGCGGGGATTTGTGGTCTATCAAATCTAATGTAGTGACTATCTATCGTATTGTCGTGCAAAATTTGCTTGACGTGTTGGAGCTCGGCGGCCAGGTGTTTACTGTCACAGAACCCTCGTGCTCTCTGAAACAAAGATTTACCCACGGTAGCTAACTTTGAAGGATGGTGATGTGAATCACCGTTTAAATATTTATCTGTATGGTTCTTTTTTCAATACACAGTGTGGCTCAAGGTGTTATCAGGATTCCGAATTACTAACGCATCTAGAAAAGCTAAAGAATTGTTTGCCTCTAACTCCATTGTGAACTGTATTTTAGAATTAATGGAGTTAAGATGGTCTAAAAATGCAGTTACTTTATCTAAAGGTAAAATTATGAAAGTGTGGTCTACGTACCGCTTGTAGAATCTTGGGTTTACGGGAGAAGTAAGCAGGGCTTTCTCTTCAAAGTTTTCCATGAATATATCGGCGACAATGGGAGATACATTGGGACGTCATACACCTCAGTCCCCCCCGTGACCATGGGTGCTGGAAAGTGCTCGAAACGTCGGGAATGTATAATAAGTTGATATACGCGATAAAATCCGTAAAATTAGTTTTTATTTAAATGTGTAGTGTTTGCGTAAATATAAGAAATCATCACGCATTTTAGTTTAAGTGTATTTTACACCTTAGTAAAATACATTTGAACATTGTGACTATTACGTACGAATGTAATAATTTTCATAAGAATACACATTAACACCACGGTTTACTTTTTCATATATCATTTAACCATTTGGATTTCGTTGAAAGTGGGATGTTTAAATGTATTACACGCGAGACCTTTCTTTTGCTTTGTTTACATCGTATACGGACATGACAATATTTTTGAATGTTATGTTTTTCGGGTGTATAAATATGGATGGTCGTTATTATATTGGCTTCTTATATATTATACTCTTCTTCCAGCTTCACCCATTTTAAAATGAAAGTTTCGATAGTTAAAATTCATTTTCAAAGTCTTGAAGATTTATTTTATGGTAATATTAAAAATACGAGTATAACGTTGAAAACTAATATGGCATTTTTTGTAAAGTGCATTATTACGTAATTTTTTATGACGTAGGCACCTATATATATATATATATATATATATATATATCAACATCAATGGCGAGTACATCACTCACCTTCGATTTGCCGACGATATAGTCCTTATGGCAGAATCGTTGGAGGACCTAAGCACTATGCTCAATGACCTCAATAGTGCCTCCGAGCGAATAAGTCCTTAAATGCATGATTTTATTTTTAGACCGAGAAAAAATATATTTTGGAGCCATGAATATGCTGATTCAGGGAAAAATAATAAAAAAAATCGTAAATATTTTTTTTCATAGCTATTTTTATTAAAAACCATATGTTGCAGAACTACAACACCATGCACTCACTAAACAATAACTACATATGAAAATTTTTAAAACAATTTTTGGTCGTGGTAAGACAAAGAGCTACTCAACACTTCTCACACCTTGTTTGCGTGTATCCCTTGCATCCAGGCATTTTGCATCTGCTGCGAACACAATTACCAGGCCAGTGACCAACATTATCAGTTCTTATGTCCTTAGGAGGAATATGTTGAGCTGGTCCTCTCCTTTTCTTTGCTTGTATTTCCATTTCAACACTGTTGCTGGTACTTGGCCTTCCTCTTTTGTTGCAGAGTTCAAATGAGTTATTTACTTTGGCTAATACCTCAGCTAGTTCCAGTCTATAGTGACATAAGTTTAGAACTGATGAATTGGCTTCAGTTATTTTTAAATCTTTATACACAAGCCAAGAATTTATTACCGTCATGTCCAATAAGTGGTAAAAGATACGAAGATACCACTTTCGGCTTCTCATTGCAATTCGGTACCTCCCAATAAAGCTATCCATTAGGTCCACTCCACCCATATGGGCATTATATTCCTTAATTATATGTGGGCATGAAATTTTAATTCTAGTCTTATTTGCCTTGTCAAATCTTTCTACTTGGCCCACAGGTTCAGCTCCAACATACGAAGATAGAAAAGTTACAACTTTATTGTCCTTCCAAGTAACTGCTGTCACATCAATACCGTCAAATTCAGTCATCTGCTCTTCATAAGTTCCACGAGGAACAGATTTCTTCATCATTGTTTTTTTGTCCGGCAGTTTGCAGTTCACTAGCCTGTTAGATTGGACAGTACCTAGGCTATAGATTCCTTGTTTGGCAAGATAGGTAACTAAAGGTACAGAGGTGTAAAAATTATCAAAATAAATTATATGATTTATATGCCTTGGGACACCTCTAGCAAGCCGGACTACAACATTTCCCACTGGCCCAAAATCTGGTTCATCTGGAAGCCGTTCATTCTCTTGGCCAGTATATATTTCAAATTTATGAGCATAACCTTTCACGCTGCACATCACATATAATTTAAACCCCCACTTATGGGGCTTATTAGGTAAATACTGCTTCATGAAGTGTGCCACTTTCGTGGCACACATCTGTTCATCAATTGAGAGTTTTTGTTCCATAGGAACTAAAGCAAATTTTTCATTTAGATGGCTAATTATAGGCCTTATCTTATGGAGCCTATCATGTTATGGGTGTTCCTTGGGTAAATGTTTCTCGTTATTGTTGAAATGTAGAAATCTACGAATAGTCTCAAATCTGTTGACAGTCATTATGTCCTTGATTGGTTGAAAACCTACAGTATTTGACCAGTATAGCCGTACATTGGGATATTTTATAACAGACATGTATATCAGTATCGCCATAAACTTTCTTAGCTCAGTTTCAGACAAATTTAATGGTTTAGTCACATTTTTTTGAACGGAATACAAATTAGACTCTTCCACAATCCTTTGAACTATTTCTGATGTAATAAAATGTGAAAAAATACTATAGGGAGTACCAGTAGTAGCCTCATCCTTCAGTTCTGGTGGATATGTAGTGTCTCCATGAAAAGCTGTCTGGTCAGAATTCAAAACAAAATTTTTTACCTTCCATACGAGTCCTCTCATAGTTGCTCGGCGACTAGCTTGACTTGTTGAGGGGAATGGAACCTGTGGCACTTGATCATTTGCTGTAGCTTCATTTATCAATGGCGGGTCTCCTGCCATGAATGGATTATTATCGGGGTCATCATTTTCCTCTTCTAATGGACTCTCAAGATCGTCTCGATTTTCACAAAAATTCTCATGACCTTCTGTATCCGACTCCTCAAGATCATCTTCCGACCTCTCTCCATCATTTATTAGAGCTAAATACTCTTCTATTTGCTTTTGATTCAAGTTTGGCATCTGAAAACCAATAAAAGTGATAGTTAGAATCTAAACAGCGACATTTTCTAGTAAATGCATATTGTTGCAGATTTACAACAACAAAATAAACAAAATTTCCGAACACACCAAAAGTTTTTTTTATAACTTATAAATTGTACTGAAAAGAAGATGAATTATTACGTAAAATAACTAATTTTGTTTGAACTTACCTTCGAAAATCAAATAATTACACTGCAAAGCAAGTACACAATTTTCATCCCCTCCAAAATTACGATCGGCTTTGATTTGTCAATGTCAAGTTTAAATTTAACAGTCGTGAAGAAAAAAAGTGTGTTGCCACTCGATTAAATATATAACCATGATAGTGATAATCCTGCAACAGCATGCAATGAACTCATACTAATAATTTTATGGTCGTTTGAATGGTATGTTGCAGTTTTACAACTTTATGCATTTAAGGGTAAGATGAACATGGACAAAACTAAGATCATGTATAACGTTCATGTCACACCTATGCCGGTAGTTGTTGGGAGCACTAAGCTCGAAGTTGTTGACGAGTATGTTTACGTGGGACAAATAGTCCGACTAGGTAAGTCCAACTTCGACCAAGAGGTCAGTCGACAGATTCAATTCGGTATACCTCAAAACTTGGAAACGAGACTGTACAACCAGTGCGTGTTGCCAGTGATGACCTCTGGAACTGAGATGTGTTCTTTCACTGCTGGCTGGATGAGGAAGCTCAAGGTAGCTCAGCGAGATGTGGAGAGGGCTGTGCTCGGAGTTTGTCTGCTTGATAAACTTAGAAATGAGGATATCCGCATTGGAACCAGAGTGACTGACATAGCCCAACGGTTTAGTAAGCGGAAGTGGCAATGGGCTGGCCATATAGCTCGAAGAACCGACAACCGATGGGGAAAAAAGGTTCTCGAGTAGCGGTCTCGTACCGGCGGACGTATTGTAGAGCGTCCCCCCACTAAATGGAGTGACAACCTGGTAAGACATGCAGGAATTCGATGGATGAAGGTGGTTTAGGACTGTGTTTTGTGGCATTCCAGTGCCACAGTGGAGGTCTATGTTCAGCAGTGGACTTGTGTATGCTATAATGATGGTGATGATGATGATAGTAAAAGCTCGTATATATGTGCTGTAGTATATATGTACTTGTATTATGTTCAGTTATTTTTGACGCGTCGTTGTTATGATAAAAATTTTAATTCGATACTTTTATTATCTCACTATATACAAGTATTTCCTCTCCTGTTTTCTTTCTTTCATCCTTTTCTGGTAAGATTAGAATATATTAATAAAAGTGTGGTTATATCTTAAATTTCAATAGTTTCGTGAGATTCATGTCCAACAGTGGACGGGCCGAGAAAGAAGGACATATACCTATACAAGGTTCAAATGCTATACTGACTTAAATGATAATACAAATAAATTCCTAAAAATTATTTATCAATATCAAATAAGAGTCCTTTTTATCCAAAATCCGATGGTAAACGATGTTTTTTTAAAAAGCAACCGTTATAAACTACTTTGTCGTATCTAGAAGGGCCAAGCGTTTAGTCAAAATCTGCAAGGAAATTTTGTACATATATATTTAATTTGATCATTAATTTATTAAAGTTAGTAAAAATACATTCATTCCATTCCATTAACGCCATCTCTATTCTAACACAGAAGGGCGCGGGGAATTCATAACTACCTATACGTAACTCCCACTTGTGAACACAGGAGGCATCCTCTTCTTTCTGAGAGTTTAAAAATTAGGATGTAGGATTTAAGTTTGCTTATACTGCATTTATGAAAAAATATTGAGTAATGTTATAGCACATTTAAAAATATTTTTTCAATACGACGTGAGGGAAATATCGAAAGCGGTGCGTAAGTAGGCCGTTAATCCCTCCCATATTGAAATATCTGCGACAGTGTTTACGAGGGATGGATGATCCGTTTTTATTGAAACATCGTCTTGCATGGAGATTGGTAGAAAAAGCGATGTCACAGGAACGATCCATATAGTAGTGTTTACTTATAACCTTTTTTACAGCCAAAGGGTAAACGAGTATTATTCAAATATTTATTACAAGAAGTTATTCAACTCAGAACATAATTAACATTAGGCTTGAATGAATAATTCATGGGTCAAATAAGTATCAGGTTCTTGTTTTAGAATTTTGAATTGGTTATTTTAGCGGTCGGTTTTGAAAAATCTTGTAGGTTTTTTTTTTTTTTTTTTTTATAGGAGAGGGGGCAAACGAGCATGCGGCTCACCTGATGGTAAGTGACTACCGCCGCCCATGAACAACCGCAACACCAGGGGAATTGCAGATGCGTTGCCGGCCTTTTAAAAAGGAGTAGGCTCTTTTCTTGAAGGTCCCTAAGTCGTATCGGTCCGGAAAAATCCCTGGTGGTAAACTATTCCACAAGGAAGTTGTGCGAGGAAGAAAACATCTTCTAAATCGCACAGTGGTGGACCGCCAATCATCCAGATGGTGTGGATGGTATCGGGAGTTCTGCCGCGATGTGCGTTTGTGAAATTTGGCGGCTGGGATTAATCCGAACAATTCCTCAGAGCACTCCCCATGGTAGATGCGAAAGAAAATGCAAAGAGATGCAACATCTCTTCGCAGTGCCAATGAATCGAGCCGATCGGAAAGGGCTCGGTCGTCGACGATTCGAGCCGCTCTGCGCTGGATGCGGTCAAGTGGAAGGAGCTGGTACTGGGGAGCCCCTGCCCAGAGATGGGAACAGTATTCCATGTGAGGCCGAACCTGCGCCTTGTAAAGTTGCAGGCGGTGTGCCGGCATGAAATACTGTCCCGCTCTGCTGAGCACGCCAAGCTTTTTAGAGGCCAATTTGGCCTTCTCTTCCAAGTGACCACGAAACTGCACGTCACTCGATATGTCGACTCCGAGGATACCGATACTGGCTGAGGCAAGATTATTATTACTTCGAATTAAACAAATGTATGAAAGTGAATATAATTATTTGACGAGGGAAAACTTTAAAAGTTTAAGTAAATAAAGCAAATACGAGTATTTATGGAAATTTCCATAGGTCGAAGTATTGCGCAAATTAATTTAATGTAGAGTAGCTTCAAAGGTTCCGGTTAGTTTGATCAAACCCTATAAGGCAGACAAATTCAAATTTATAATGTGAATTTGCTAAATTTAAATTTTATAATCTATTCCAAAAACAAGCTTTAATAGGCGTTGCTAGGGCCAGCATCAGGGTCAGTCAGTTCAATGGTACTAGACTATTACATTGTCTTCGAAGTTACAAACTGCTGTCACCAAGTGCTTTAAAAATTGATTACAAATTTTGAAGTAACCAGAGTATCAAAATAAATTTAATATGCAGACTTGCTGTTAAATATTATATATGTGTGAACAGTTGATGTTCATTATATTGTATTATATAGTCTTGTTCCAAGCCAAATGGGCATGTATCATCATCACCATCATTACAGTCTTTCATAAGTCCACTGCTGAACATAGGCCTCCCCCAAGAAATGCCACAAAGCACTGTCCTGAGCCACCTGCATCCATCGACTTCCTGCATGTCTTACCAGGTCGTCACTCCATCTCGCGGGGGGTCGCCCTACACTTCGCCTACCGGTACGAGGCTGCCACTCGAGTACCTTTCTTCCCTAACGGTTGTCGATTCTTCGAGCTATATGGCCGGCCCACTGCCACTTCTGCTTACTAATCCGTTGGGCTATGTCGTCACTCTGGTTCCACTGCGGATATCCTCATTTCTAAGTTTATCACGCAGAGAAACCCCGAGCATAGCCCTCTCCATAGCTCGCTGAGCGACCTTGAGCTTCCTCATACGGCCAGCAGTAAAGGACCACATCTCAGATCCGTAAGTCACCACTGGCAACACGCACTGGTTGTACAATTTCGTTTTAAGGTTTTGAGGTATGTCTGACGAGAAGATGTGTCGTAGTTTCCCGAACGCTGCCCAGCCGACTTACCTAGTCGGACTATTTGTCCCAGGTAAACATACTCGTCAACAACTTCGAGCTTAGTGCTCCCAACAACTATCGGCATAGGTGTGACATGGACATTAAACATGATATTTGCTTTGTCCATGTTCATCTTAAGACCTATCCGTTGGGAGACACTATTGAGGTCATTGAGCATGGTGCTTAGTTCCTCCAGCGATTCTGCCATAAGGACTATATCGTTGGCAAATCGAAGGTGAGTGATGTACTCTCAATTGATGTTAATACCGTATCCTTTGCAGTCCAGAAGCTTGAAAACGTCTTCCAATGCAGCGGTGAAGAGTTATAGGGGATATAACGTCACCCTGTCTTACACCTCTCTGCAATTGGAAAGGTTTCGTATTCTGGTTCTGTACTCGGATAGCCATCGTAGCCCTACTATACAAGCACTTCAGCACTTCGAAATACCGACAGTCAATTTGGTACCGCTGAAGGGACTGCAGCGCCGCCCAAATTTTGGCGGAATCAAAAGCTTTCTCATAGTCCACATACGCCAGACATAGTGGCAAATTGTACTCCTCGGACTTCTGTACAACTTGCGGAAGGGTATGTGTGTGGTCTATGGTGCTAAAGTCCTTCCGGAAACCGGCTTGTTCGGGAGGCTGGAAGTCGTCAAGTCTGCGCGCGAGACGATTCGTAATGACTCTCGAAAACAGCACGTAGACGCGGCTCAGAAGGGAAATCGGTCTGTAGTTCTTCAAGAGAGCGTTGTCACCTTTATTGAAGAACAAGACCACCGCACTTCTGCTCCACGCCTCCGGTGTCATGCCACCATGGAGGACGGAACTAAAGAGTTTCTGAAGGACTTCAAGTACCGGTTTTCCACCCGCTTTCAGAAGCTCCGCTGTAATTCCATCCTCGCCTGGGGCCTTGTCGTTTTTAAGGTGCTGGAGAGCCATTCTATTTTCACTCACACTGACGTCCGGGATATCATCGGAATAGTGTCGGATAAGACTCGCTCTTGGATCGTTACTCACACTTGCGTGTGGCTCCAACGATGACGTGTACA